GGTGGTGGCCGTGCAGGGGGGGCACACCGGGAGGAAGGGGGACCTGCACGGGGGTGCACTGGGAGAAGGGAATCATGCATGGAGGTGCCCCGGGAGTAGGGGGGGCCAGCACTTAGGGGTGCGCTGGGACGAAAGCATCCTATACTGGGGCTTAGCTGGTGACCTGTGAATTGGGAGCATGGGGTGCTGCACTGAGGGAGTGCAAAGGTGGGGGTGAGGATTGGGCACTCGAGAAGGAGGTGTATATGGGAGGGTGTTTGAGGGGTGGGGGGTCCTGCACAGGGAGGAAGGTGCCTGGTATCGAGGGACTGGAGGGAACGGTTCTGTATCGGGTGGCAGATCCTGCACTGGGAGGAAGGGGTTGCATATTGGGATGGTGGGGTTGGAGCGGTTGCCCGCTGGGGCGTGGAGGGTTTGTGCAGAGAGGGAAGGGGGTCTGGAAAACGTACCCCTGGCCACGCTGCTGGCAGGTGGCAACGCTTGGAAGCTCAGGTACCTAAGTGAAGCATGTTTCCTCTGCCGCCGAATTGGGGTTACTGTGAAGTCGAGTTTCCCATGAAACTATGTCTGTAGGAACAGTTTCTCGTCCCAGGAGGACAAAGAGTTTTATTCAGAAGTTGGCAGGTATTAGCAGAGACTGCTCTTTCTTTTTATCAGTCGTTTGCTTAATTTCTTTTAATTGGAGCTGTATCTCTCTAGCAGGTGTTGGCATGAACAGAATTCGGATCCATGTTTTGCCGTCAAGTCGAGGACGCCTTACTCCTGTGCCGCGGCCCCAGGAACCTCTGTCATGTGCCTTTACTCACCGCCAGTGTTCGCAGCCACGGCTGGAAGGGCAGGAGTTTTGTATTAAGCATATTCTGGAAGACAGGACTGCTCCTTTCAAGCAGTGCAGCTACGTTTCAACAAAGAACGGAAAGCGGTGTCCAAACGCTGCGCCCAAACCAGAGAAAAAGGATGGGTAAGCATTTCCATTTCCCAGTCCTTTGCTCTGTACTGTATAGAGTTAAAAGAGGCAGAAGCAAGAGTACCATGGGGTGAAGGCATAGGTCTCTGCAGGTCCTTTTCCTTATTCTGCTGCTGCGCTTATGTTAACCTCAGACAAGTGATTTTCCATTTTTGAAGCATTGTTAATCCAGCAGAAAGACTGTGAGCACTGAGAGCTCTGCGTGGAGTCTTTTTGGTCCTGCAGGACTATCAGGCTGCTGCCCTCTGTCATCAGAAGGTGGCTGTGCTGTTTCAGGAGCCAGGGTGCTTGGTGGGAGCTGCGGTTGCATCCGCATGGTGCTGCACCTGAGCTAACCCTGGCAAACTCGAGTTGTCTGTGTCTGTGCTTAGGGTTAATCCTCAACACAGATACTCTGGTCATGTATTACAGATCCTCTGGTCATGTATTATTTGGAGTTGATGACCTGGTTGTGCTTGTTGTTCCTTGATGCGTGTAAAATGTTCCAGCTGTTACAGATGAAAAGGCCTAGAATAATTATTGACACCCAGTAAACACGTCAGCAGAATGCAGTTATTGGAGCGTCGGCCTTTATTTACTTCCCAGAGGTCACTGAAATTTGAACGTTAGCAGTCTTGATTCTGCCCTTGGTGCCTCTGCGATAAAAAGGATGCATCTAATGTGGGCCAACGTGCTCTGCACGAAAACTTTAAAGTCCAGCGTGAATGTTTGGAAGCAGTTTACCTCTGCGGCTTGAAGTAAAAAGCCCTTTTCTCTCCCTGCTGCTGTGCCATGTGGCTGCCGGCTTCAGTGCCAGAGGTGGCGTTTTATGGTGGTGTGTGGTCTGCGAACCACTTGGGGCTCTCTGGCATTTCTGAACGATACCGGCAGCCGGTGATAGATGGTTACGTTTTGCTCACGAAGGGTAGCTGTGGAGTGGGGTATGCCTTCCAAATGGCAGGGAGCGTTTCTCACTGTATCGCTTGTTCGTTTTGCTGGCTGACTGAGAGCTTGGAGTCGTAACGTGTTTTTGATTTATTTGCTCAGTGTGTCGTTCTGCGCGGAACATGCCCGTAGGAATACTCTGGCACTCCAAGCTCAGATGAAAAAGTCCAATCCTGGACCTGTAAGCGAGACTCTCCTTTGCCAGCTTAGCTCTTACGCCAAAACAGAGCTGGGCTCCCAGACTGCAGAGAGTAGCCGCAGTGAAGCCAGTCGAATCCTAGGTAAGAATTTAACGTGAAAACCGGTGAGAGAGAACCAGGAGTTCTCTTTTTTGTTTGGAAACGCCAAGAACGTTGCTTATTAAATCCAGTGGTAGAAAAGGGATCCTGGGGTCTGTGGCAAAAGATCGTGTCCCACACCCCTGTGTGTTTTGCCTACCAGTGACTGCAGATAAGTCACATTATAGGTATGTCCCATCACCAGGCCAAAATCTTGTGGGTTCTCTTCGGTAGACGTGTCTGGAAGCTCCCCTCATTGCTTGTTTAGTCTCTTGCTGTGCCTGTCAAACACTGCTGTTAGATGTGTCTGTTCCCTACAGCTCGGTGGTGAGCTTCCCATCTTGCAGGGTCACTCGGTGGGGAGCCGGCAGGCGGTTCGTGGTTCTTAAGTAGGCAAGAATGTTACTCCACAGGAGCTGTATATTTTGGCTGCACATAATTAATTGGTGGGTTTCCTGTTGTACCATATTGCTCGCTCACGTTGCGTTGGGGAGAAGTTTCTCTTGGAGGAGAGACAGAGCTGGCTCACCTCCGTACTTGCCGTGGAACAGCCTCCCCCGGGGTCCCTGGCTGCCCTGTGCTGGAGTAACAAGCCCTGGGAAGCAGGGCAGGGTCCTGCCTCTCACGGAGACTTGTCTTTGCAGATGACGACAGTTGGAGCGACGGCGAGCAGGACCCTATCACAGTGGACCAGACGTGGCGAGGGGACCCGGACAGCGAGGCTGACAGCATTGATAGCGACCAGGAGGATCCCTTGAAGTAAGTTGGGTGGTGGTGGCGGCTCCTAGCTGGTTACGCGTGTCCTGCAGAACGCCCTGAACTCCGGGTGATACCAGGGTGGATGGCGGTTATGTTAAAGCGATGACGTTATTAATGATGTTGCAGTTGGACTTTGTGTCTCTAGTGAGTTGTTAGGCATGAGTGCTTGCAAGTCTTGGACTTGGTGGTTCTTCTGTGAAACATTTGCTGTTGATCCTCTTTTCAGTGCGGAGTAGCCCATCTAGCCAGGTATCTAGCAGCAGTCTGTGGGTGGTCTCTTAGCTTTAAAAAAAAATTTCACTAGTTCTGCTCCTCGCTTACTGAGCTGTCTAATCAAACCCTGCTCAGTCAGTGTTTCAGGTAATGCCCGTGTCATTCGGTAAGAACAGCCCTGAGGGGACCTTTATAAAGTTTACCCTGTTTGTTTGGGGGCTTTTCAGGCACGCTGGTGTATACACAGCCGAGGAGGTGGCTTTGATCATGCGAGAGAAGCTGATCCGCTTGCAGTCCCTGTATATTGACCAGTTCAAACGACTCCAGCACCTTCTGAAGGAGAAGAAACGTCGATACTTGCATAGCCGCAAGGGAGAACATGAAGCCATAGGCAAGTACTGGTACAGGTAGTCACTGATCTCTATTCATCTGGCCATGGGGCGCAGTGCTTCTCTAGAGCACATGCAGACCTCTACATTTAAAAATGCTTTTTTATTGCTTTTTTAGAAGCACATTTCATTGCAGTGCTAGCTTTGCAAGGGTGAGAATTGCTGTAGGATTGAAAGTGAGATGGAGTAGGTATTTCTGTGGCTGGCCTTATGCCCGGAGATTGGTATCACTTGGGTTAGAAAGGTTGCCGGATTTCTTTGCTCTTCAAAGTTTGCAATGTTGTCAGGAAATGAGACTACAAAGTTAATTCTGAGACAAAAGTTCTTTTTTGTATGGGATTTCCTGTTTTTGGTTTTATAAACAGAAAATTTATTCATCCGTAAGGTCCTGCCTGTATCGGCAAAGGTTTGTTTCTATAGTTATGCTAGTATTGCTGTAATGACATTCCTTCTTAGCACAGAGCAACTTTCTCCTGCAAAAGCACGTTGGCTTCGGTTGGACTTCTTACTGTACCGAATATGCTCTGTGAGGCAGGAATTTGTAGTTCAGCAGATGAAGAACGGCGTTGTATAACTGGCTGAAAGTGTTGCAGCGCAAAGAATGCTTTCTCTAGCACAGCCTCTATAATAGCTCATCCCAGAAAAGGCTATTGTACAGTCCAGTCTCAAGTAAAAATAACTGAAAGTTTTATACATAACAATTTTGTAGAACTTGTTTTTGCAAACCAGTAATAGAAAAACAGATGCTGAGCGTTGCCCTGTAATTACAGCTAGGAATGCTTACGGGAAACTTCCAGAATTTGCACATGAGTAAGCTGAAATTTGACAAATTTTATATTCTGCCTGCAAAAATCACAGTCTACTTTTGAACGGTCAAGGTATTTTAAAAGACGTCGTTTAAAAATATTCTGTCAGCCCAAGAATTCCTTGTCTGCCCAGAGCAATTGGGAAAAGTTTCTGGATGGAGGCTGCTTTGTCATGCTCTTATGTAACCAGAAGATGTGCTTCCTGTTTATATGTGCAAAGCTCACTGCTCGGTCACTAGACGCTTTGACATCTGTGTCGTTAGTCAGCTGTTGGAGCTCTTGATGGCTGATGTTGGCTCTCGGTACCAGAAAAATAAAATCTGCTTCATTTTCTAGGTGGGGGGTGGTATTTCCTGATCCCCCCCTTGCTCCCCTGCAGGCAGCAGCCTTCTGACAGGCCCGGAGGGGCTCATGGCCAAGGAGCGTGAGAACCTGAAGCGACTGAAGTGCCTGCGACGCTACCGGCAGCGCTACGGCGTGGAAGCCCTGCTTCACCGCCAGCTGAAGGAGCGCAGGATGCTGGCAACTGACGGTGCCGCCCAGCAGGTGGGTGTCCAGCAGCAGCTGAGCTGAGAGCTCTGGTCGCCGCCTGGTTTGCGTTACAGCCTCGCCTGGAAACTGGGTTTCTCCTCTCACCCCTTCCTTGGCGTGATCCTAGGCCAGATCCTCTGGCTTTCTGGCCCTGTCAGATTGCCCATTGTCATGCTCAAATTTGAACCCAAGTCATGTGTGCGCAGCAATTTCTTTATCGCCATTTTTAAATGTAAAGCATTCCCTTGACTGACTTTGTAAAGTCAGAAGATAAAGCTGGGAAAAGCCATTCTTTGAGACATCCTTCTGGGGTAATAACGTTCTTTGTATTGAAATTGAGGCTTGTCTTACTATCTCAGGTCTGCCTAACAAAAGCTTGAATGAAAAGGCCATAACGAGGAGTGAAAATCTGCCCTAGTGGAACTGAGAATTTTAATCTTGGCATGTTTTTGAAAGCAGAATGTAAAAATGCTGTATAGCAGAGGGGATTTCTCTGGAAAAGAGCCAGAAAAATCTCCAGCGCAGCTCTGAGCTCTTCTTTTCGACTTGTTTACAGGCACACACCACTCGCTCCAGCCAGAGGTGCTTGGCCTTTGTTGATGATGTTCGATGCTCCAACCAGTCTCTCCCGATGACCAGGCACTGCCTTAACCGTATCCTTCCATCTGCCTGTGCTGTCTTGGGTCGCGCTCATGACTGTTTGCTGGCAGTTTGAAGTGCGCCTGATCCTCCTTTTTGATTTTGGCCCTAAATCAAGGCCATCGGTTTGCTGTAACCGTTGGTTTCAAGCAGGAGCCCAGAGGAATGTCTTCCTGTGGTATGTTGGCCAATCCAGAGCATCAGAAGGGAATGGCCAATTCACTTGGAAGCAACAGGAGAAACCTCGTCAAGCCTGAGGGATTCACAAAGCAAATTTCCAGATGTATTAAAGGAGGAGAGAAGCAAGTTCACTCTCACTTTGTGCATTACTGCTCTTAGAGGCTTGGCTACGGGTGCTGGAGTGCCAACAGCCATCCAGAGCGTAGGGCCTGCTGAGCAGCTCTACGTGAGTCCCGCTATAAGCAAGCGAGAACGAAGGGATGTTTGACCGTTGAGGCACAGCGGATTTGGGAGGATCTGAATGAGGGAATAGCTTCCAGCCTGGCTGGGGCTGCCATGGGCCATCTTGCTCTCATTTGGGCTCCTTGAAAGGTGCTAGTCGTTTAGAATGAAATCCCACACTGAACAGTGCCTGCCTGCCTGCTATGTCATGTATGTCTCTGAGCAGCTTCAGGCTGTTCGACTTCCAGAATCGACCTTGGCTTTTCAACAGCTGGCTCTGAATTTCCCCCGCTGAATTTCTCCAGCTCATAGATCACCACCAGCAACCCGGGATCCACAAACCAAACATTGCCCCTGGGTACATCTGCACAACCCTTAAGTGGAATTGGGTGGATACGTCCCGTAACAGGTTTGGATCGTGTCTCGAGTTGAGTTAGCAGCTGTTGCTGGAGTGAGTCAGGATAAACTGCAGCGCTCTGTCCCAGAAGAGAACTGGCAGCCAGGGGGAGGATGAACTCTTCATTTTGTTTTGTTACTGAAGTTGGCAGACTTGACTCCAGCTATGCACAGGGAGCAGCCCAGGGAGCAGGAAGCTGCCATTGTTTCTCTGTAGTGACCATATATTTTAAAATAAAGACAGGATAAATACCTTTGAAATGGTTTGAGCAAGTTGCTGTTTGCAGCTGGCTGACTTTGAGCAGTGCAGGCAGAGAAGGGAGTGGAAAAAGCGGGGTTTTATTTCCTTGTGTCTGAGTGTGTCAGCTGACTTTTACTGACACAAACAAGATTTTACTTTGGTTAGTCCTGCTGAGCCGATAACATCTGCAGTCTGCTCTGCTTTGTGCATTGTCAGGAGGCTCTTGGGCTTTGTTTGGTTTTCAGAAGCTTGATTGTTTGCGACAATGCATTAAAGGGACCGAACCCAGCTGGGTTGTTGGGCTCCAGGTGGAGCTTGTGATTTTGTCAGCTTGGCAATTCATGCTTTTTGGCTACCAATAAAGTAAGCGCTTGATCTGGAGTCATTCAGAGAGATTAAATCTGGCTCCCCACCCTGCTGTTCGTATAGAGACACTTCTCAGACCACATCTGCCCTTGAGTATCCGATAGATGTGGCTCTTCTGGGTTGGGCTCCGTACTGTTACTTCTCGCACAGATTATGGGCTCCCCAAAGCCCGCCTGGGAATCTTGTTAGTGTGTTCGGAGTCGCCTCAGTGCGTGGAGGTTAGAGCGCAGTGGTAAATTTGAAATCTAGTCAGCTTAAGAAACTGGGTTAAGCTTGGCGTCCTTTGCATTTTATGTGGGTTTGAAAGATTTTTTTTCGCTCCTTCACTGCTTTGTGTAAAGAGGAAGCTGTAAATCGAGCTTCGCAAACGTCAAGAACATCAGCATGGCTAGTTATTTTGGTGGGTTTGATATTGAGATATCTGACTTGCAAGACTTGCTCCACGCTTGAAAACAGCTTTGGCACCAAGCATCAAATATTAAGTTGAGTGGAATTTCTGTCACCGAGTGGACAGCCCAAGAAATAAGCTCGGTCGTTCTTTGCAGTAATTAGTAGAAAGCTTATGATAGCCAGCAAAAACATGGTGTATGTAGACCATCGTGCTGCCTTCAGCAGTGGGTCAATCTGTGATTTTGCCAGGTTCTTGTTCTCTTTTGCTGGAAGAAGATGGGATTAATTCTCTAGCTGCTGTCTGCTGATGGATTGCTCTGTAAGTGAGGTACAATTGGAGCAAAGTTTCTGTTTGTGATTAAAGGCAGGAAATCCCATTTACACCTCTGGCAGGAATAGGTTTTCCATTGGGAAAGAAAATGTACTGGGAAGATAGAAATACCGGAACTAAATTCCTGGCTCTGGAAAAAGCATTGTGCATGCTAGTATCTCTGCTGCGTGTTAGATGTTAAGGCTTGTGCAGATGCCTTTTAAATGGATGTCTGCAAATAAAAGTAAGCCTGTGCATTTGTAATATCTTCCATCTGAGGATCTGTGAGTGTTTACAAGTATCCAGCTAAGTCTCCCAGCCCCCACTGTGAAGCTGTCAGCATTGTCCCCATTTTCCATCATGTAAGTAAGGTAATTTGGCCTGCGTCACTGGGCGCTCAGGATGCAGCTCTGGAGTCTGGACTCCTGACCATGAAGGAGAACTGTATTTTTTAACACTGTGATCCCTGAGTGGTGGGGTGGGTGGGGAGCTTTTATGCTTTTGGATGGATGGGTTTTAATAGCTTGTCTGCCATACTCTGTGAGTTTCCCTTGACGGTATCTTTCCAGACATCTGTCAAGATACTAATCAGACTCTGTTTAAACCGTGTCAAGGATCAGAGGAAGTGCCGTGCAACAAGCCCGTTCCCGTAAGCCTCTCTGAGGATCCGTGCTGCCCACTCCACCTCCGATTGCCTCCTCAGATGTACGTACCTGAGCAGGTACTGTCTGTTCCTGAGGAGCTGGAAGCTGCCCCCACAGATCTGTACTTGAGCGCTGCTGAGCTCCAGCCCACGGAAAGCTTACCCCTGGAGTTCAGTGATGTAAGTCGGAGTACTTGTGCGGTGTGCTCTAGTATAACCTGTCCATGGCATATAAGCAAGGTGTCCTGCAGAGAACCTTCCTGTGAAGGTTGCTGTTTTCATTACATGTTATGAAGTCACTCTAAAGTGCTCAGGGGGGAGGAGGAGGAGGAGTGGGCTGTAATGCAACCGAGCTGGTGTTCCCCTTGAGGAACACGCGTGGGCATCGTGTAAAGCTGCTGCCTCCCAGGCAGAGTACGTGCAGGTGCACAGGTCAACCCTCTCCTTGGAGAAAGAGGCCAGGGCAAGCAAGACCTAAGTTGTGAGGGACTCCCCTCAAACAATATGGTTATGTGGTATCAGCATGCACAGCCCGGTAAGGGGAGGCTAAAATGTTAATGTTTCTCATCGCTTCCTTCTGCCAGGAGCTTAATGTATGAACTATTTTTGTTCCTGCTGGCTTGGAGAAGAGTCGTCTCTTGAAAAATGTGCAAGAATGTGAAGGGTTTGGGAAATGCTTGTTTTTGTAGGGTTTTGAACATGATGGTGACTGCTCCTTTGGAAGGGCTGTGCTCTTGTTTAAATCCGTATTTAGGGGCTTTTTTAAAAGCGGATTTTTTTTCCTTCTCTCCCATGAAGAATGCATGAGGATTTTAATCCCCAGATTATTCTGATATCCTGCATGGATGTTAAGCCTACATGCTTAAAATCCTCTGAGATTTGTTTAAACCAAACTACTGTGGTCATTTGGAGCTACTGCTCTGAACGAGACGTCACTTGCTTTAAAATTTGGATGTCACCAAGATTCCTGAGGGCTTCCGTCAGCAGGCAAATCGTATAACCTAAAATTTGCTGAAGGAGAAGGGTTTGCCTGCAGTTCTGGAGTCAAGATGATGGCAACAGACGTTGCATTAACACGAGAGACCATACACCACTGATTCGGTGCCTTGAAAGGGCATTAATCTGGGGCTGCTTGGTAGGAGCCTAGTTCAGCCGTAGAGCTGCTGTGGAGTAAAGACTGGATCCAGTGCCCACTGAGGTCGGGGGGAACGCTTCCACTGACTTCAGTGGGCATTGGACCGGAGCCCAGCTCTCCTTCCTGTGGGGCCGAGCGCTCGCAAGGCTGAGGTAGCACGCGGCTGTATGTGAAAACAGTCTTTGTAGGAGATGTTTTTTCAGGTCAGAAATGAAAAACATAGCTGTGTGCCCCCCCCCCCGGTCCCCTTCAAGAGGGTTCTCTTGCTCTGTGCAGGGTTCCAGTGGCTGTTTGGGTAAGAATCCAGGGGCCTCATTTCTGCCTTTTCCTCCACCTTGTACTCTGAGCCGGGCACGGACGTGAACTGCAGAGTAGCTGCCTGCTTTGGAAGTGGCCTTACTGGCAAGTGTGACTTCTGTGTGCTACTCAGATAAGATGGCATGTGTCTGCCCTCCTTCAGGACCGCACTGAGGGCCTTTCATGCTGGAATGTCTCCTGTCGTAGACACCCTTGCAAGAACCGTGCTTCCTTGCTTTGAAAGGATTCAGAGCTGTATGGCTGCGTAGAGCCTCTGTGCTTTATCTAGCGTAACGCCAGCCTGTTAAAGTGCCACTCTGGAGTCGCAGACATCCCGCCTTGATGTTGAACTCCCTCCAAAGCCAAAACAAATACCTTCCTCTAACAATAGCCTCGGAAGAATCCCAGCCTCTCATGTCAGCAGTGTTATCAGCACATGCTGCAGACAGCAGCAAGCGGGGCAGACAGGAGGAGTAAGCTTGAGACTGTCTATCCCGATATGTGTCAGGGCAAGCAAAGAGGGCTCTGCTAAGTCTTGGCAGGGGAGTGAAAGCGGTGAGTATCCTAAGGAGATCAAAATCAGACCCTTTCACAGCCCTTTTGGCTGCTGCAGGGATGCTTCTGCCATCTGGGGCAGCACCATCACCTTGGGCTCTGGACCTTGTGCCCCACACCTTGTCTTCAGAGGGAGTCCAGCATTTCCAGCCTGGATCGCGCTGTTTCTGGAAAAGGAGGGCCCCTTAGCTGCGTTGCACGGGGACGCTGTGTGCGCCGCAGCTGGCGTTCCCAGCTGCTGAGGGGCAGCGCGGCCTCTCTTCCCTTTGGCGGGGAGCGTGAGTAGCACGGTGAAGAGGCTGGGATTCCTGGCGGCACGATGCCCGCTGCTCTGATTTCCTCCTCCTGTGCCCCTGTGATAAAGCCGAAGCGCTGGAGCAGTTTGCTGCCTGTTCCCACCCTGGTGTTAGAGGAGACAGTCTTTTGCCACTGAATGCTGTAATAAAGCATTCATTGAACAGGATGTGGAATGAGGGTTGCTCCTGCCTGCCCTATTTTCGCATGCCGTGTTTTCACGTGCAAGCCCTGCCGGCTGTGCTGGCGTTGGAGCTCCGGCTGGGTTCTCAGCTGTGCTGAGCCCTTGCCCATCTGTTGGTGCTCTTGATTTGCAGCCCTTACGAAGCCGAGCGGCTGGTCTTTGCCCGACAGGATGAGTGGGTGACAAAGAACGGCTGCAAAGAGTCTTACTGCTGTCTCCTGTGGCTCCTTGGGACCGCTCCTTCTGATGGGCCGCTCCTGGTGTTTTCTCTCTTAGGACTTGGACGTGGTGGGTGATGGCATGCAGTGTCCCCCGTCCCCTCTGCTCTTTGATCCTTCTATGGCCCTCGAGCAGTCAATCAGAGACGTTGCCGAGGCCCCCATAGACATACTGGCCCTGGAGGAACCTTCCCCAGCAGGCATCCCACCGCAGATGGTGCCGACGGACAGAGGGAGCTTGTCTGCCCACATCTTCTCCCCAGCCGTGGAGCCTCCTGCAGAGCTACCTGCACAGGTACAGCCAGGAGAACGTGCCGGGGGCTTCCAGCTGTGAAGTAAAGCTCCTTCTCCAGGCAGCCCTTTGCCTCCAGAGCTCTGCGACGAGCTGGAAGATGTGCCCTCCTGGGGGGAGAACTGCTCCCTGTTCGCAGGCCCGCTGTGCCAGCCAGGCTCTCAGGTGGTTGCTTTCCCATAGAGCGAAATTTGGACCCAGTCGGGCAGCCCGTGTTACGCCCACGGTCTGGATGATATTATGAGAGCTGCGAGGATGGTAACCGGAGCTTGTCCTTGGGGTAGCTGCAGGCTGCCTGCAAAGGACAGGCAGTCGCCTTTTCTCCTTGGGTGGCTTAGTGCCACTGTGTCTTCCTGTGTGTGGGATGGGTGTCGCGGGAACTGTCTGGGAAGCGTTAGGGATGTCTCGGCTGCAGGCTGGGGACTGGGACCACTAAGTGGCTTGAACTGCTGTGGGAAGCCCCTTTTCTTCCATGTGGTGAAATCATCTCCTGGGCAGCGGGCTTGTGCTTTCTCTTTCTTCAAATAACATTTACTCCACAGTGCTCTCTTTTGAATGTAATTTTTCCACTTCTGACTTGCACCTCTCGGTGTCCTGCTCAGAGCCTGCGGCTTGCTCAGGAAGTCCCCGCAGGGCGTCTTCTTTGGAGGCGTCCTCAGACGCCCCGTTCTGCGCCTGTCGTCTTCTCTCAGACGCTGTTTCGGCAGCTCGAAGAGGTCCCTGCAGTGCCTCTCTCCTCCCGGGAGCTGAGCGTGGGGCCGCAGCCCCAGAGCGCACACCCCGCAGGCCCTGAATGAAGGCCATCGGTTTGCCGTAGCCGTTGGTTTCAAGCAGGAGCCCAGAGGAATGATTTCTCCCGGTCTGTTGGCCTTCCCGTCTCAAAATGGAACGGCCAATTCGTTAGGGAGCGACAAGGCGCAAAAGGCTGCCCCGGGGAACACCTCGGGCTCCTGCCTTGCCTCTGCCCGGGCTGGGTCCAGCTGCAAAGCCCTGGGAGCTCCTGCACCTTGTTTTTTTTGCTTCAACAGAGTCACTTGCTGATGGTGGGGTGCCGGCCCGGGCCGAAGGACGACAGGAGGCAGGAGGAAGCCGCGTCCTCTGCCCAGGCCCACGGAGCAGCCACAGCCACCAACGGGAACCTCGAGCCGACGTCTGTGAGCTGAGACTGGGAACAAGCGGCCTTTCCAAGATCCCTTGTGCATCCTCTCTCACTCTGAGCCCTGCCCCTAGGTGGGACGCGCACATTATAAACATGCAGGTGTCGGTGTGGTCGCCCGGCACCTTCCCAAGCTGCAGCTCCACCTCTGCCAGAGTGATTCCTGGAGCGTCGGGGCCTGAAACGTCTGACCGGGGGCCCGCAGCCAGGCCCAGTCCAGCCAGTCCTTCCCCTGCATCCCGCGGCTCTGGCCGCCGTGTGTTTGTGGTGAAGCCTGCCAGGGCCCGCTGGTGAGGCAGAGCGCGTTATCAGCGCAGGGAAAGGTTGGAGATGTTCAGTGGAGGGATCCTTAGGTGACTTACTGGGGAAAGGACGGGGTGGCTTTCCGTGCTCGCCTTGCTGGCGAGGCTGTGGTTTCCTCGGAGGGGTGAGATGTGCTGGTAAGAAATGCAGGTGGGGAAGGGACATCCTGTATTTGGCACGTCAGGAGCGCATGCGCTTGCCGGAGGCATGGTTTGTTCCTCATATGCTCCCATGTACCAAAGCAGATCTGGTAGCTGCATGCCAGCTCGTCTCCGGTGTGCCAAGGTGCGCTGCTGCTGCACCACCCCCGGGCAGACTCCTCACCAGCTTTAATCTGCAGGCCCGCAGGGCGCTGATCCTGTGTATAAGTCTTTGAAATGTGCTGTGTAAAGTTTTCGGTTTGCGGGGGGAGGTTTCCCCTCCCACAGGTAACCCAGACAATAAAGAGATCAGCAGATACTGGAGCGAAGAGCTTCCCTGGGCCGTGCCTCGAGAACACGAGCAGGATGAGCGCTGCGTTTCTGGGCGGGGGGGATGCAGCTGCTGTCCTGGGGCACCTCTGCAGAGACAGGGAGAGCTGCGGGGGGGATCTGCCTGGAGCGAGGGCAGGACAAGATGGGGCTCAGGAGAGCGGCTGCAACACCAAATTGTCCTCTCGGGCGAGAGCGTGGGACGAGCACCGCTGCGGTAGTGACAAAAGCCCTCTCGGTGGGGGAGGAGGGGTTAAGGAATGAAAACCATGCGCTCGCAAACCTCCCGAGTCCTGCTGCAGCCAGCAAAAATACCCAAGTTCAGGTTTCACTCCCTTATTTTTGGTCCTTCGCGTAAAACCCCGAAGCTCTGCTGTGCGGTGCGGCGCAAGGGTGCCCGGGCAGCCTCGCCGGGCTGGGAGCTGAGGGTGGCTTTGTGCTTAACCACACGACCCGCTCTCGCTAGAGATGACAGAGTCCCGCCGTTCCCGCGTTATTTTCTTGCTTCTGGTGATCTAAAAATACTGCAATCGCTGCCTCTGTCCTCTGCGCGATGGGCCGAGCCGTGCCGTGCCAGGCTTCCCTGCGTGGCAGGGCCCTGCTGGGCTGAGCCGGGCTCCCTGCGCCCCGGGGCCGGGCTGAGCCTTGCCAGGCTTTGCCGCGCTGCAGGGCTGGGTTTGCTGAGCCGGGCTGCGCTGCACACTGGGGCCGAACTGTGCCGTGCCAAGCTGGACTCCTGCGCGTCCAGCTGGGCTCCCTGGTGCCAAGCTGTGCCGAGCCGAGTCAGGCCGAGCCGGGCTCCCTGGTGCCGCAGGGCTGAGCTGTGCCGAGCCGAGCCGGGCTCCCAGTGCTGTAGGACTGAGCCGTGCCGAGCTGAGCTGAACCGAGCTCCCTTGTGCCACAGGGCTGAGCTGTGCCGAGCCAAGCCAGGCTGGGCC